CCTATAGATTCCCCATAGGCCCTCCCCTTGCATAGACTCCCTATTGACCCCACAGACCCCTCATTGACCCTGTAGACCCCCCATTGACCCCATAGACTCCCCATTGCCCCTATAGACCGCCATAGACCATATAGACCTATAGATTCCCCATAGGCCCTCCCCTTGCATAGACTCCCTATTGACCCCACAGACCCCTCATTGACCCTGTAGACCCCCCATTGACCCCATAGACTCCCCATTGCCCCTATAGACCGCCATAGACCATATAGACCTATAGATTCCCCATAGGCCCTCCCCTTGCATAGACTCCCTATTGACCCCACAGACCCCTCATTGACCCTGTAGACCCCCCATTGACCCCATAGACTCCCCATTGCCCCTATAGACCGCCATAGACCATATAGACCTATAGATTCCCCATAGGCCCTCCCCTTGCATAGACTCCCTATTGACCCCACAGACCCCTCATTGACCCTGTAGACCCCCCATTGACCCCATAGACTCCCCATGGCATGAGGGTGCATAGGGGGCCACAGGGCACCCACTGGCTGTGCATAGGGGCCTATAGGGTGCCCATAGGGCATCCATAGGGGTACATAGGGGCCCTCAGGGTGCCCATCAGGTCTTTACAGGGGTGCATAGGTGCCCATAGGGTATTGATAGAGTGTGCATTGGGGCCCATAAGAGCCCCTAGGGTGCCCTTAAGGTGTCTATAGGATGCCTGTAGAGTCTCCATAGGGGTGTCTATAGGGTGTATAGGAGCTTATAGGGCATCCATAGGGTACACAGGGTGCCCATAGGGTCTCCACAGGATGTGTAAAGGCCCATGGGATGCCTATAGGGTGCATAGAAGCCCATTGGGTGCCCATAGGATGCCCGTAGAGTTTCTATAGGGTGCGCAGGGGCCCACTAGGGTATCTATAGGATGTCCATGGGTGCATAGGAGCCCATTGGGAGTCCCTAGGTTATCTATAGGGTCTCTCTAGGCTGTATAGGGTGCTCATAGGATCTCTAGAAGGTGCCCATGGAGTGCATAAGGGGCCTATAGGGTGCATAGAAGCCCCTAAAATACCCATAGAGGCCCAAGGGGTGCCTATAGGGTCTCTATAGGGGTCCTAAGAGTTCATATGAACCAAAGGGTCTCTACAGGGTATTTATAGGTCATCCATAGGGTACATAGGAGCTCATAGGATATCTATGGGGTGTCTCTAGGGTCTCTATAGGGTGCCCATAGGTGCCTATAGGTGTGTGTATAGGTGTCTATAGGGTATCTATGGGTGTCTATAGGCACTCATGCTTGCAGAACTGTAGGCTGTAGGGTGTCTATGGGCTCCTATAAGTGTCTATAGGGTGTCTATAGGGTACCTATAGGCACTCACGCTTGCAGAACTGTAGGCTGTAGGGTGTCTATGGGCTGCTATAGGGTGCCTATAGGTGTCTATAGGGTATCTATGGGTGTCTATAGGGTATCTATAGGTGTCTATTGGGTGTCTATAGGGTGTCTATAAGCACTCAAGCTTGCAGAACTGCAGGCTGTAGCATGTCTATGGGTTCCTATAGGGTGTCTATGGGCTCCTATAGCCTATAGGCTGTCTAGGGGTGTCTATGGGGTGTGTATAGGCACTCAAGCTTGCAGATCTGCAGGCTCTAGGGTGTCCATAGGGTGTCCATAGGGTATCTATGGGTGTCTATAGGCACTCACACTTGCAGAACTGCAGGCTCTATGGTGTCTATAGGGTGTCTATAGGATATCTCTGGGTGTCTATGGGCACTCACACTTGCAGAACTGCAGGCTCTATGGTGTCTATAGGGTGTCTATGGGCTCCTATAGGTGTCTATAGGGTATCTATGAGGTGTCTATAGCTGTGTATAGGCACTCACGCTTGCAGAACTGCAGGCTCTAGGGTGTCTATGGGTGCCTATAAGTGCCTATAGGGTATCTATAGGTGTCTATAGGATATCTATAAGGTATCTATGGGCACTCACGCTTGCAGAACTGCAGGCTCTAGGATGTGTATGGGTGCCTATAGGGTGTCTACAGGGTATCTATAGGCACTCACGCTTGCAGAACTGCAGGCTCTAGGGTGTCTATGGGTGCCTATAGGGTGTCTATGGGCTCCTATAGGTGTCTATAGGTGTGTATAGGCACTCACACTTGCAGAACTGCAGGCTGTAGGGTGTCTATAGGGTATCTATAAGTGTCTATAGGGTATCCATAGGGTATCTATAGGGTGTCTCTAGGCACTCACGCTTGCAGAACTGCAGGCTCTAGGGTGTCTATGGGGTATCTATAGGTGTCTATAGGATATCCATAGGGTATCTATAGGGTGTCTATAGGCACTCACGCTTGCAGAACTGCAGGCTCTAGGGTGTCTAT